GTTTGCCCAGCTTGCCTAGGTAGGGGGGCTCCAGTCCACCTGCCCCGCCCTCCAGCTCAATTTGGCCAAAACCCAGACCAAGCCCCATCCCCTCCCTGCTTCCTCTCCCATTCTGAAGACAGTACCAGATGTGGTGTGCAGCTGTATTAGTCTAGCCCTGCTCCCAGCAGGGACTGACAAAAGTTAACGAAGGTGCTCTGCTTTGTAATGCCTTCATCTGAAACCTCATGTAATCAGGATTCCAATTGTTGTGCTATTGGGCACTTTTAAAGCACTCTACAGCCATGAATTTCTATCATGGCACAGCTGTAGAGTGTTTCAAGGGGCTGATCATGTGACAAAACATTACTTCTTTCAGTGCCTATACTAACATGTTGATACCAGAAATTTTATGTTAAGCATGTTTCTCTCTCCATAGCTTCAGTTCTACATTTTTTTAAAAATCTGTGTAATGTCTACATAAATGTACAGTCTTTTTTGTAAATGGATACTGCTTAGCTCTGTTTCACTAAATATTTCTGACGATCAATTTCCCATGCTAATTATGCATTGGTTTAGGAGGGGATGGACATTTAAAATTTACCACCTTTCATATTGAATTACTTCTTGTTCTTATATTATGAGAGAACATAAATAGAAAAGTTCAATATACCTTAATTTTAATTTTAAATTTAATTTTAAATCTAATAATGTAATTTATTTATTCTGCCATCCAAATTATGCAGTCCTGAGCTTTATAGTCCCTCTTTGTATGGGAAGCTTTTCATCACCAATCTATGAACCGCTTATTTCTGTTACAGTGTTTGAGAACAAATGAACAGAATTGACAGTGTTCCAGTTGTTGGTGTCTCACTGGTTTATTTCAATGACTTTGTTACATTTTCATCGTTACATTCTGTTCTGTTCTTCATGTATCTTAACACTGGTTGTTTTATACCAGAGGAGAGAACTGGATAGACATCATTAATCCCTTTGTAGAAACACCCAAGTGTTCTTTCAAGGAGGGTTATAATTATTGTAAGAACCTACAATGTGTATACATGGTTCAGAGTATTCTTGTCCATGTGCATTATCTTCCATTTAGAAGGATAAATTTTAATCTTCTCTACTTATGAGAATTTGATTATTTTTTTCCTATCGTTTGTTTTGTCACTTATCATGTTTCTAATATATGATAGTGCTTTATTTTTCCCTGATCCTTCTACTTCTAAAGGATTTGTCAAAGAATATTTGAAAGATTATTAACTCTAAAACTTTTAAGTAAATTCTCTTTAATTTAAAGATACAAATTTCCTGTGGAAAAGCCATTTTGTTTTATCTGTGTAATCCCCATTTAGAGGTCCTATAACTCTATTTTCAGTTTTATTATGACATTTCTTTGATATTAAAGTAAAAATTCACTGGAATACCATTTCCAAGCATGTTTTTTTACATATTAGTTATATTGCTATCCTTCCACCCCTGACACTGTAGCTGCTTTTAAAAGAAATATCAGATTTTATTAGCAGATCAACTGCTTTGTTCTTCAGTACCTTCTGAAATTTTGCATGCACACTCCCCAATACTTCCCAGTACTCAGGATTAGCTGCCCCAAACTAGTACCACACTAATTTTGGCTTTGGTCTTAATGGGTGTCTTTACACATGCTCTGAGGCAAAAGCCGCTCTAATTAAAGCACCCACAGCATCTTGTATATTCAGCATCCCACACTTCAAAATGGCGGCGTGAACTCGTTTGACAAGCATTAGTTAAAGCGCCCCTTGCTGCCATTTTGAAGTGCAGGGATACTGAATACACATGACGGGGGGGATGCTAGACCATGCTAATTAGCATAGTAGCAGCCTTGAATAGTTGAGCAGCAGATTAATTAAGTCTGCTCTGATGTATGCTAATTAGCACGCATTGGAGCAGGTGTCAGGCATGTATGTAGGTGCCCACTGTAGCTGCCATGGCTTCAATGTAGCTGCAGTCCAGATATGTTTGACTTTCAAGTATGCATTGACTACACATATGATAATGAATAAAAAAATCTTCACTCTGAATTTTTGGTCTGCAATAGTGAGTTCATGCAAGAGAGTTTTGCCTTCTGGAATATTCTTGAAGCTCACTGTCTATCAGACTATGTCCTAGAAATATAAATGTAGAAATGCAATACACTTGAGCTGCAATTACTAGTATGTGAGACTACTTAGTCTACTTCTGAACACTGGGTCCTCTGTGCTTTTAAACCCTCTGCTTCTGGGTAGAGTCCAGCCACTATTTCTAGTTCTCTGTTTTTGGAACATATTCTTGGGCTCAGACTCTGAGCCAAGTCTCCTAACTCTTTACACACCCTCAGAGTTTTATCCAGCTGTGGGATAGATGGTTAGCTGTGGGCATACTGGCTTCTAATTTAATTCCTCTGGGGCAGGGTAGCAGGAAAGCAAGGAACACAAACTTAACAGGGGAAGGTTTTAACAACAGTCACTTCACTCTTTAGTTTGTTTCTTTCTTTCACTTTTGCTTAAGACCTACAGAAGATATTGCAAGTCCTGAGACTTGTATCTCCCAACCTCACTACTGCAGTCTTATCTCTCATTCCTTTTTGTGAATTGGAGGTCTTTTTTATCATTTCAGGATAGACAAAGTCCTTCCTCTTTCTCTATCCTAGTCATTTTATGTGGGCTTCCTCTTCAGACATCCATCTTTCCTTAAGCACAGTCTAAGTTCCTTTCTGCCCCGACAGAGAGAACATTTATACACATACATTTGTGTGCTCCGCATGTGAGCTGAAGTGCCTGGTGCCGCGTCGCATACATTTGCATAAATGGTGAAATGTGCATCAGTGCTGAGAAAATAGTGGTCGTGCACTTTTGAACTAAATCACGTTCAATGTATTTTACTTCAAAAGCAAGCTGCTGCCATTTTCTGAGCGCTGATGCGCATTTCACCATTTACACAAATGCATGTGCCGCAGCTCCCGGCCCTTTTAAAAGTGCCTGGCACTGCAGGGCAAACATATACAAATGCCCAAAAACTCCAATTCCTTCTGCAAGTTAAGCTCTACATAGGTCCCATTTTTCTATGAGATGAGTTGGTAGTAGGGTCAAATGACCCTAGATAGTTGTGTTGATAGCTTCTCAGAGATCATCCTTAAATGTATCAAACTGGTTGGCTATCAGGAATAAATTATAATCTCAACTTTGTCAAAATTGGATGCATTTGGCGCACAGTACCAAATGGAGGTTACAATACAGCACAGAATTCACAGTTTGATCCAGATATATTCCAGTCTGTCTTTGTGCATATTTTTGCTTACTTGCATCATGAATGGTTGGATACCCAGTGCTCAGAAATCATGTTACTACATAAATGGTCTTCTTATTTGACACTCTATTGCACATTTTTACTTCAATGCATTTCAAAACCTTTTAGGTTGTAAAATCAAAGAGTCCTAGTTGAGGAGGAATCGTGTTTATTGACTGGAATGTAGTTGGTGTCTTGAATACATTCAGCAACTAAATTAATTGAAATCGAGCCAAAGTGGTTGCTGAAATCCTGTAAAAGAAAATTTTAAAAGAAAGATCTCTTCTGAAGGAATTAAAATATCCCACTTCCAACTTGTTCCAAATCTAGCATTGTGTCATTTTCTCTTAAAATAAAAATGGGACTGATCTGAAAAGAGGAACTAATAATGGCTGTCTCAGTATCCTGACAAACACAACCATACAGAGCAGATTTGGGTGTAGAAGTAGCCATGAAAGCTTATGCTTCCGTCAGGAACAATTATATATATTGTAACATTTTACATCACTTATTCTATGTTTTCCATTGCTTATTACAGCCGTATAAATTGCAAGTTTAGAGGACAATAAGTTCTTTACTTTTTAGTCTGACAGGCTAATGAAACTGACCTCTGACTGAAAAAGGTAGCAAAAATGTCAGATCTCCAGAATAAAAGATCCTACATTTTGCACAAGTAGAAATGTAAAAAGCTTATGTCATGAAGAATTTAAAAACACAAGACATTGGAAGGAAGGAGTTATTTAAGGACTATGTGCCTTTTCCTTAAATATCAGCTTTATCAGTACCATTCTTTATGCAACATAGTTTTCCCCACACTAAACATTGTACTGCTCCATTTTCTTACTAAAAAGCTAACACTGATGCTTCATTTTTTGTGAATCGCAAATCAGCTGTGTATTCTGTAGAGGTAAACAAGGAAAGTTGTTTGAAGAATGTATCAGAGTTCAGATCAGTCTTATAGACAGTGTGATCCTGCTCTAAAATGTAAGTCATAAACATACATTAATAGGTTTCCAAGTGTACTCAATGATTTGCTATCAGATATGCTCACAAAAAAACATTTTTTTATAATTCTTTTGCCTGCAATCTCAAACTGGAATCTCAAAGTCAAGCTGGATTCTTTGCATTTACACATTCATCCATAGTAATAAAGGTTCTGTGGGTCAGATCAGGCTCTCAGTGACACCTCTGTAGTCTTATTGTAGAAAATTGATTTGCATGTGTATAAGTGACTGTAAATATTTTTGTTGGCCATGCACACATTAGCATTTTAATTCCATTGATTCTATAGAAATAATAGGACTTGAATAAAAAGGATTTTCTTCTTGGCTTGATAGTTACTAGATTGAAATACACACAGAGAGTAAATCTGTTAGGTAAGAAGATATCATTTTACCATCCCTTTTCAGAATAGAAACACATTACATATTACTCTGTGTGCTTTTTAGAAGCTCATCTGCATTTTGCATCCAAAATAGGTTGGAAAAATGTAACAAAATGCAAAATTTGACACAAGCCTCAATACGCATAAGGAACAGATAAAATGATGGTAAGTTAATATTTGAATACCAGTGGAAGTATGCATTTATGATCATAATGTAGCATCCAAGTTTTTTGTTACAGGTGGTGTATAAATTGATAAATATCTGCTTGAGAACCTGAATTTATGGCAAATTTGTATGACATAGTTTTAACTAATAAAACTTTGCTTTCAGATGCGCCAAACGCAGGTGTAAGCAAATCTAGAGCATCTGACAACATCCATACCAATACTTACCACATTAGATCAGAACCAGAACAAGGGAATCTCTACTCACCAGAACAGACATCTCTTCATGAAAGTGAGGGTCTGTTGTATAGTTTTTAAATACTTGAATCTTATTTCTCTATTGCTTTTTGTCAAAATTGTATAATAGTTTGTTCTCATACTGGTTTGATTTCTACAGGGTCAGTAGGTAACTCGAGAAGTTCAACACAAATGAATTCTTACTCTGATAGTGGTTACCAGGAAGTAAGCAGTTTCCATAACAGCCAGAACTTGGGCAAATCAGAAAATAGACAGCAGCATTCATTTATTGGAACAACGAATAATCATGTGGTGAGAAGCTCACGGGCTGAAGGACAAACATTAGTTCAGGTATGCTCAGCATAGCAATTTATCTAAGTTACATAGTTGAATATAGTTTGAACATAATATATATCTAACTCATTTTTTTTGTATGCAAGAATTAAAGTAGCTTAATAGACTTCAAAAACATTTATGGATTAGTAACAGTTCACAAGGAAAAAAATTAACATAGGCATCGCTTGGCAAGCAGGCAGGCAGAAATGTAATTCCTTGTAATTGAAACCAAGAGAAAAACCTAAAATACACCTGGCTAACGGGTACATTATTTGTATCTTATCTGGACAAAACTATAGCTGAACTATAGCTGTTTATCTCTGAGACTTTTCTAACCTTAAATTTATATTTGTGCATAAATCTTACATTTAGAGGCTGACTTTTTTTGTATTACCATGTTTTCTATCCTATTTTCTCAACTGTTTTTGTGAATCACAGATAGGTACAAGAACTTCTTTTTCCTGTCTGTCCTGTAATATATTACTGTCTATATATAACTAGAAAGAAGATTCAGCAATAATAAGCTATTAGAGCTGTGGGGAGAAAAAGGAAAAAAACAACAGGAGAGAACTAAGCATTACGGAATGTAGAATATATATAATTTTTATGTTTTTATTTGATGTTTTTGCTATTTTTTGAGGGAGAAATGGTTAAAGACTTCAGCTGAGATGAGTTTTTGCAGGGGGAAGACATTTCAAAGCAAAGTTTAGGTTGATAAATATGAAGATTAAAATAAAAGTCAATGCGGTTACATTTGAGCTGTGCACTTTTTTTCTATAGGTTTTCTGGTTGTATCATGGAAGACAATTTAATTACTTGACCAAGACCCTGAACTTAATAAACCTATTTTTTTTCCTTCATAAACAGCCATCAGTAAATATTGCTGCCAACCGAGCCATGAGACGTGTTAGTTCAGTTCCATCCAGAGCACAGTCTCCTTCGTATGTTGTCAGCACAGGTGTGTCACCTTCAAGGGGGTCACTGAGAACTTCTTTAGGAAGTGGATATGGTTCTCCATCTGTTACTGAATCTCGACCCCTAACTTCTAATGCATATTCATCTACTACATTACCAGTGCAGCGAGCAGCATCTCCATATTCAACACAGAGACCCGCTTCACCAACAGCTGTGCGGCGAATCAGTTCAGTTACATCAAGGCAAACAGCTAATCCCAATGGAGGAACTTCTCAGTACCAAACATCAGCAAGAGTTGGCTCACCTCTTGCCCTCACTGATGCACAGACAAGAGTAGCTTCTCCATCCCAATCCCAGATAGCATCTTCTTCCCCAAAACGCTCTGGCATGACTGCAGTACCACAACATTTGGGAACAGCGTTACAAAGAACAATTCATGATATAGACCAGTATGGGCAACAGTTTGATATCTATGAGAGAATGGTCCCTCCACGTCCAGATAGCCTTACAGGTTAGTAAAAAGTTATACGTATAGGTTTGCACTGAGATCTTTAAATATAGAAAACCAATAGTGCAATTGCAACTGTGAAGTAAGCAGTTATAGCTGTGCAAGTAAAACGTTGTGATACGAAAGCAATGATGATAGTTCTTCACCTCAGTTGTTGTTACTCCTTATTTATCAAATGGTATAAGTGCATTCATGTTATACTGTAAATTTGCAGCAAATGGCATAATTTCTTTAATGAACAGATTACATTAGCCATATATAAAACTGTATTTTAAACCTTGGGTGAAATTAAAAGCAAAATAGTTTTAACAAAAGTCAGCTTACATCCAAATACATTTACAATTTATGCACAAAATAAAAGGTGGTCTGGTTGAACTAGTGTTAAATGGAATTATCTTTTAAATAAGTCATTAATATTATTTGATTTTTGTGGTACTTTTTATTCTCTAGGTTATGAATTTAAAAATACTTTCCAATATATTAAATATTAATATAGTAACTGTTAGCAAATGGAACGGATATCAAATGTTCAGTTTTAGCTATATGCTACCTTGAATTCTAAAACCTATTGATTTAAGAAAGGCAGTGCTTATTAAGATATAATTACTTTAGATTTGAAGTTGTACTCTTTTTTTCTCTTGATTTCTCTCATCTACAAGAGCCACAGGGCACAATGATCATGCAGTTAGGACAATATATTCTGTCAGTGCAGATTCAAATGTTTGTTTTATTTTTCTTTTCAACTGTTATAGAGCTAGCACTTCCCAAATTTGTTCACCCTGCTATCAGAGGAATAAACTACCATTTTTTATTTTTCATAGGATTAATAGTAACCTATCACCTGATAAAGTAAATTAGCACTTTTTCATGGGGTGTCAACAAAAAAACTCATAAACCTTTCACTCAAATTTATATCAGTTTTCTAACCACTGATACTGTATGTGTGAGAGCACCTACTGGACAGAAAGTAATAGAAAAAAAAGGTTACTATTTTGGCAGACTCTAGCACAATAATAATAATAATAATAAAAAAATAAAAAACAAGCCCACCGCTATATAAGCTGAGAAAAAGGATAGAGTGAATAGCTAATTGTCTCTTCTCTTTCTCTGACATTTTTGTTTTCAGAAAAGAGGACCAATTTGGTACAGAGAAACTGGTAGAAACTGAAATTATTTCCCTGGAATGTAACATGCTGATCCTGGATTTAGCTATTCAGACCTAAATTTTACTTCTAGTTCTAAAATTTAGTTTCTTGGTTTGCTTTGAGCAAGTCACTTAACACCTCTCTTCTCAGTCTCTAAATAAATTTTCCTCAGGACATTTTATTGTCCTGAGGAGTTCTGTTGCCAACTGAAGAGGTGTCTAGACATTATAGAAGGCAAGTCGGAGATTCTTGCCTAACATATACAAATACAAACTTAACTGTATGATTAGTTACATATCACTTCATCAAAGAATCACATTTTGGAGAAGTGTAATAAACATCACCTTTTTAGCTAATCCTCTAAATCCAGAGATTAATTTTTTACATAGCTATAATTACTAGTTTACTAAAACGCAGTGCCCACCTAGAGTGACAACTCCTTTATGTACAGTAGGCATGCTTTGCACATCAGTGTGTACTTCATAAAAGAGATTTGAAATAAACCTGTTAGAAGTACAAGTAAGGAACTGGATCCTATGAATTATATTGGACCTTACATTGTTCGTGCTTGAAACTCACTTGATTCTATTAGCAGCCAGTTATTTGAACAAATCATTAAGTAACTAGCTGTATATTCATATTCTTATTTGCTAACTTTTACATAACTAATCATACTGTTAAAAGTTTATATTTGTGACTTTTGAATTATTAGCTGTACTTTGTGATAGTGATAGTTTATTTGTAGAGATGGAGACAGAGTTAGATTGTTTTTATAATTCTGTACAAATAAATCCTATCATTAGTGCAACCTTAGATTGAAAAATCAAAGTTCATTAGCCAGAGGAAGATGTGAAAAGCTGTCCTGAAAAACAGCAAAGTGCATGTAATTAAATCACAGGAGAGAGATATGGTAA